ATCTCTGTTGCAATTCTATAAAGTTTATTATAGAGGTAGTCATTGGAAAATAATTGTTTTTTTGATAAACTCCCTGGAAATCCTCGAACAAATCCTAAAATTACCCCTACGAAATAATGAAAATTATTTTTGAACTCCCAAGGGGGGATTCGAATCCACCTATCCGTGTTCTACGCACACCGCTCTTACCAAATGAGCTATCAGAGACATGGTCACTGACTTCACAATCGGAGAAATATAAGATTTCGAATCCAATCTTGTATACAGAAAATCTTCAATTCATTTTCGTCTGGAAAAAACATGCGTCGGCATGCAGACACTTCCCCAGGGGGTCGATTCTCGACTCGTAGGAATATTTTCCTATAGGAATTTTTGACATTTTTATGTACATCCAAAATTTATGACATTTTCCTACTTATAGGAAAGTGTCACAATTTCCTATAGGAAAAGGTTCCTACAAGTCGAGAATCGACCCCCAGGTCGTCGTCTGTGATATATTTTTTGGATTTTTAACCGATAAGTTTCCGGAACTTTTAAAACCGTTTGTCTCCCTAATTGATTTTTTAATCCGTAACTTTTTATTACATTTATTTACAGTCAAAATTTTATTGTTTCACAACATTTATTGACATTAAAATATGATTTTGACCATCGTTGACATAAAATAATTTGTACGTTTTATGGTTTTATATACACTGCGCGTCAGAGAAAACGGGTCACGTAAATTTTTTTACAAAATAATTCATCTTTTTAAATATATCTTATTCTTATAACAATAAATATATTGTGTATTAAGTCAGTAATTGTTTTACCATGTTATGCGATGGTACCATAAGTCACAAACGAAAAGAAAGCAAAAATTTGAGAAATCATAAATTTATTGAAAAATTACAGTTACAGTTTACTTTGCAATAATTCAATTAAATGGTGAGAAAAACCTTTTTATTACGGCGTATTGCCACCCCGATTCTGGATGACACTCATCATTCGATTTGGCTTAGAAATCAACAAGGTCTGAATGTTTGCTTGAGGAAAACTGGTCCATTCCTCAATATGAGCCAACCGAAGCTCTTCGCGTGTTGTTGGAACATGTATGCGACGTCTTACACGCCTTTTGAGCTGGTCCCAAACATGCTCAGTATGATTAAGATCCGGGCTTAGAGGAAACCAATCCATTTAGAGAGTACCAACCTCTTCAAGGTACTGTGTTACCATCCTTGCAGTGTGTGGTCGCGTGTTATCCTGCATTAGCAGTAAACCATTGCCACCAAACCTATCATATGATATTACATGCTCTTCTAGGATCTCTGTTATGTAGCGTCGTGATATTAATGTGCTTCTGTCAATAATAACGAGATCCATGTGTGCCTCAAACGAAATTTCTACCCAAAAGCACTCGAGGTGACCAAATACAGGCATTATAACGTTCTCCAGCGCCTCTGTTAACCTTATTTCGGCCATCTTTTCCATATATGCACATTGTACACTCATCCGTGAACAGTACATTTTTCCAATCGTCCACTGTCCAATTCATATGTTCGCGAGCAAAAGCAAGTCTGTGTCTTTTGTGTGTTGTAGTAAGCAAGGGCCCTGTAGCTGGACTGCAAGCTATCAAACCACTTTCTCTTGACCTTCGCCGAACAGTAGAAGTGCTGACTCCTGTTCCATGAGCTTGCTGAAGACTGCTTTGGAGCATTCTAGCGGTTTGCGTTCGGTCTTGTAAAGCAGCAATGGTGAGAAAACGATCCTCCTTGGCTGTTGTTTTTTTTTTTTACACCCGTACCGGGTCGCCGGTGATAAGAGCCGGTCGCAAGAAACCGTTGGTGTGTTCTTTGCACAGTCGAACGACTGACATTTCATTGTCTCGCCACGTCCCGTTGACTTGCTTTAGAACACATTACAAGTTCATAAAGTTCTCAAAACAGTCACTTTCATGAAACTTGATTGACGGGTAAAAAAGTATTCTGATAAGTTTTTTGGTTTACTGGGTTCCGAAAATTTGTTTATGATCTTTACAGGTTCGGCATGACTTCGAAAGTGCGCAAACTAACCCGTTTTACCTAATTAAAAAATAAGAAACTTAACAAGACTGATAATTTCGTAAATTTTTTGGGTGGCCCGTTTTCTCTGACGCGCAGTGTAGTTGGTATAACTGAAGAGTATCATAACATATTCCACAAGCCCTAAAAAAATCCCTTTAAGTAATTCGTCATTATGAAAATCGAAACACCAAAACTAATTCCACTTTTCAGAAATCATTTACAGTATGCACAACTCGTCAAATACAAAATATTGATTTATTTGGGAGCTGCTCACTGGATAAATTTACAAAATTAAAGATTTGGAATATCCTGTATGTATGTAGAAAATAAGTGCTATCATTTTTTGGTTGGCCATGAATTTACTCTTATCTAAGAGCAGATAAAAATATTTAAAGCATCATAAATAATATTATTTTTTACAGTTTATTCAGTAACATAATGTAGAACTAAAAAATTCCTTACGTTCCATAAAAATGTAAAAAAAATACATGGGTCAAATCGAAAATATGCAGCTGTTACTATTTTATGTACTAATTTTTACAATCTTTAAACATTGTAAACCCACGGCCTATAAGTATTTAGTGCTTTGAAAATGTTATTTACAAGTGCGAATAGATATAATTAGATGTTATTTTTTAATATATTGTAAAAAAAATTGCGTGTTGCCTACAATGTAAAAATATAATTATAATAAGAGATCAATTCTAATAATATAGTATATTACATTACGAGTGTTGAAAGTGACATTTTTCACACGAGTGAGAAATATTGTCGCACGAGGCGCAAGCCGAGTGCAACTATCACACGAGTGTGGAAAATCACTTTTCACACAAGTGATGTACAATATTTTTCCTACGACCACAAAATAATGTCATCAAAAAAATGTAAAACCAAGGTTATTATTACTATAATAATTAAAAAGTATTTAAAAAAATCAACAATAATCGTATTTATTCAATTTTCATATTTTCTAAACAAAAAAAAAAACTAAAAAAAAAATAAAAAAAAAAACAAAACAAAAATTCCGCCCCGCCAGGATTTGAACGCGGTCGAAAAATGGCAAAGTTGATAAGTTCGACGTCCTAACCACCTGAGCTAATAGCCCTTGTGTCAATTGAATGATCTAATCGGTTATGTATTTAACCAGAATAAAGAGCAAACATTATTTTAATAATAATTGTTAAAGATAAATATCTAGGATCTAATTTACAACAATTTCAATAATTTAACAATCATTTCGATTTTAGTATTAATATGGACATTACAAAGATCAAAATAGAAATTAGGTGTTTGACATTTTGTGACAACTACTGCGGAAAGTAACATATTCTCACTCTGGTGGAAAGTAAATTCTTATTCATACGCGTGTTATATAGGTCACTTTCCATCGGACTATATAGTGTGATATGTGTCACTTTCCTAAGTGGTCGTAGGAAAATATAATTTAATTTAAAAGACTGTTCTTATAAACGATCTTTTAAAAACTTCCAATCTTTTTTTTATTTAACTTTTAAAACTTTTTTTGGCTCTTGAATTTTTTAAATAAACCAAAAATTGAATAAAAAAAATATGGCAAATTCATAGATCAATTTTTACGAATAATTTACAAATATAGGAAAGAAACTTAAGAAAAATTATCCAATAATAAATAAAAATTAGTTTGAAAACTATATTGGGTTTATATTTTTATTACATTGTGCACTGTAATTAAAATTTTGTTAGTTTGTTTTTCTAGCACTTAAAACAGCTTCACGAATTTCTAAACATTTATTTCTCGCATTTCGCATTTTACAGAAGAGTTAACTCTTATCAGAAATTAAAATTCCATTTCTCAGTTTAATAACTACAAACTCTCTTATTATCAATAATTAATTTCGATTAATCATGTCTATATATAAATTACATAGAATTTATCAGATTACTAATACATTTTATTTAGTTAACTAATCTGATACAAGGACTTACCTTTAAATAAACAGTAGTATTATTAGTCAGTAGCCACAAATTTTCATAGAACACTCACATATTTAATATCTAAATTAGACCAGACCAGGGGAAACTCAGAGAAAGGTTTCGATGGAGTTTAATTATTTGGTAGTTTTGTTTGGAAAATGTTTTTTTTTTGTAAGAAAAGTGTGATTTTTTCGGCATTAAAAAAATCAAAAACTGTACATTTTGATCATATATGAAATTAAAGAGGATAACAATTTAAAAATTTTCTAAAACAGCTGAAAAAATTTGACTGGATACCAATAAACAAAAATCTAAATATTGTCACTATTAATAAACAAGAATTAAAATAATACACACGAGTATTTCTTATCTATGACAATGGTGTATGTACACAAAATATTAAATGGTTTGGCACCACCTTATTTTCAAGAATACATTAATTTTAACAATAATATTCTCTGCCCAAATTAAATAACGACCACATAAATTGTTATTTGGACTATAAATGAGAAAGTTCCATAAGCAAAGCTTTTATTTCATTAAAAAGATACCTTGGCATTTTTTTAAACAATAATTCAAATACTACAATTTTAATTATTGCAATTTATCTACGAACGATTTTTTTACGATTCTAAAATATTTACTGATAATAGAAACAAATAATGTTATTAATTAACAAAATGACAAGACTATAAAAACCAAACAAGCAAAAGCAAAAAAAGCGAAAACTGTGGCAATGAACTAATTTTTGAAAGTATCGGATATAATAAAACGAATTTGTTATTGTATTTATCAAATGTAACTAACACTTTTTTAGACATACTGGTAAAATATAAAGATAATAAAATTTATTATTCAATTTTTTTTTTGTATGTTTTGCACTTCTTACTGACAATTTATTAATATATTTAAAAGGAATCTTATTTAAAACTTAAAAAGTAAAAATAACATGTTCCTACAAAAGTATGCCCATTGCCACTAAAAATAAATGAATAATAAACTTACCAGTGGCAGCGGCAGCTTCGGCGCCCTCTTCATTAACTTCGATAAATGCTTTTTGAATGACTTTACTGACTTTGAGTTCCTCGGGACTTTGAAGCATTCCTGAGAAATCTGCATCGTTTGAAAACATTCCAGCCAGGCCAAGCTAGAAGAGAAAACGATTTTAGTAACGACATTATTTCAACATAATATTGTTACGTTTGTTAATTTTAAACAACAGTTTATTTGTTAATAATTTATTTAAACACCTATTTATTTTAAGACAATACTATTCTAATTTATATATATTTCGAATGTCTTTAAATTGTTCACTATTTATCTTAACAACTATTTGTATACGACTGACTGCACTGTGTTCTTCCACCAATAAAAATTCTGGTAAAGGCCTAGAATGTTCTTGCCAAAACTAGTAACATTATCTCGTTCGTTCTGGAATAGTAATCGAAAGCGCCTTCGCCATAGTCGTCACATATGTTTGGTCTTAAGGGATTTAATTATGTATGATAATTGGACAAGTTAAGCCTCAAAGGCCAAATAAGACAGAGAGGGACTTGGAGGATTAGAGCATGACTAAATAACGAAATGACTGGTTTCCTATTAAGATGATAATTTTTCTATAATTATACTATAAAATTCATAACTGCTTTTATCGCCTTTTAACATTCGCAAAATAATAAACATATATGAAATACAGGGTGGGCCACTTAAAAGTTAAGAGATCTTCGTTATTGAGATACTGAAATTATTATTTTTTTTTTTTTGTTTAAAAGCTGGGAGTATGTTATCTTGGGTATGGGTTATTAATGCACTGTGACCTAAAAGATCTATTAGGCCCATACATTTCTATTCCAGTCCTTTCTGTGATTTTGGAACCAACCATATACCACTTAAATGGCATGCCTTTCGGTTGCAAACACGATGGATTATTGGCTCCATTCTTTCTTGCAGCCCAGCAGCAGAGATCGAAAATAATTTTCACCACTTTAACTTTGATTGTATTTCCTAATGAAAGTCATTCTTTTACCGGTTGCTTTCTAAGTGCAGTTGACGTTTCCATTCTTGCTCGTTGAATATCTACACATTCTCAACCTCCGTTTAATAAAAATAATAATCTTTATTTCAGAAAATGCTAACGTATTTTACGTATAGAAGAAAAATATACCAACACAATGAAATGAAGTCATATACAAAAACTGGTGTAAAACATATCATTCCCATAAATTACAAACACACTTAATTAAAACATTATTTAAAAAATCATTAACACTATAGGGTTCTAAATTTAACACAATTATTTAATTTCTTTTTTGAACTTGTTAATACTTGTACAATTTTCAATAGTTAAGGGACGTTTGTTAAACAATTTTATTGTCATATAATAGGGGGCTTGGTTGCGAGGGGATATCCACAGGGAGGGGTGCTATCACCTCTGCTGTGGAATATGGTCCTCGACACCCTCATCAGCCGCCTCAATAATGACAGTCAGTACACAATAGCATATGCAGTTGACCTGGTCATTCTGCAAACAGGGAATTTTGAGAACATACTCTGCGAAAGAATGCAAATAGCTCTGAAAATTATAGAACAGTGGTGCAAGGACCATTCACTGTCTATCAATCCTAAGAAGACAGAAATTGTCCTTTTCTCAAGGAATAGGATGAAAATGGAATTAAAACATCCAGAACTTCTAAACACAAAACTAAACTTTGCAACAGAGGTGAAGTACCTAGGTCTCACCTTTGATAGTAAGTTAACATGGAACTCGCATTTAGAAAACAGAGCTTCTCCCCCAGCGTCGTCGCATGGATTTACACGTCTATCATAAGACCTATGCTAACATACGATGCAGTTGTCTGGGTACCGAAAACCCAAAAATTAACAGCTATCCGTAAACTGGAACGATTTCAAAGAACAGCATGTCTCAACATTACAGGAGCCATGAAAACCACACCAACCAGAGCCGTGGAAGTAATTCTTAGTCTCACTCCCCTTGATATTTACATCAAGGAGGTTGCTCTGATAACAATGACACGCCTCCGTATGATTTGAATAAAAACTGATGTATGATCTGGTAAGGCGAGATGTTGCTTTTGGCAGGAGGCGCTCGATGCGCTCGATACGCTCCCACTGCTTCAAGCGAACATGGACTCCATCTCACCGAGATATATCTTCCATAAGCCATATAAAATTATAATAGAATAAATAGAAGAGCAGTAGTGCCAGTGTAGTTCAAACCGAGCTCACGGGGATTCTCATAGCAGCAAAAAAAATCTACTAGAAATAATATAACTGAAAGAAACATGTTCTATACAGATAGCAGACAAGCACTACTCACCCTGGACAGACCACGAATTTATTCAGGGTTAGTACTAGAATGTCACGAAGCTTTGGCCGAAGTATCCATCAACAATGTGATCAACTTAAGATGGATCAAAGGTCATGCCACATCGAAAGGTAATCGTCTTGCTGATTCGCTTGCCAAAAAGGCAGCTAACCAAATATTTTTTGGACCTGCCCCCCCCCCCCTATTGGACTGACAACATCAGTAGTGACAAACCTAATTAAAGAACATTCCCTTGTGAAATTCAAGGAAAGTTGGGATGAAACAAGAAGCTGCAGACTTGCCAGGGAGCTTTTAAGTTATCCTGACAACACTACAGCAAACACATACTATGACAAGACAGAATCTGCGCCTGATCACAGGCATTCCGACTGGACATTGCCAACTACGGAAGCATCTCCATATGGGGCTGGCAGAATCCGCACTCTGCAGGGGATGCGAACAAGATGAGACAATCGAGCATATCATCTACGATTGCCCGAAGCTCTCATTTATTAGAAGATTTGTGTTCGGCGAGAATTGGCTAACACCGGCCGATATAAGAAAAGCAGCTCTTGACGACGTTTTTAACTACATTAAATCTGTAAGCTGAAACACGAACTAGAAGGCCTATCTACTTAGGAGGATGCACAATGAGCCTAGTGAGGCCTAAGTGCCGTGAGTTAACCCACCCTCCATATGTTACAGATACAGAACCCAGTAAACGAACAATAGGGCCCATAACCTTTCTGATCCGAGTAAGTTTCCGAAAACACCTAATAATGAACAGTATTTTGAACATTTATTGTCAAATTTAAATCTATTGACAAATTTTGGAATAAATGTTTGATTTTTGAAATTTATTTATTCATTGAAACTATTAAAAGGTTTAAAAATAGTAGATATGGGTATAGGCAACCTTATATAACTTTTAAAGTATCGTTCACCCAGCCACTGGATTGTGACAATAACCACAGACTATACAAAGACCAACACACATACAAGGACAACCCTGTTTATTTACTAGCTTTCTCCAGGGGGCAATAACCACAACTAAAACACGACAAATTTATAAATACTTCTCAATTATCGATTTCAATACAAAGGTAAGGAGTGAGGGCCGCTAGTTTCCTAACACGTAATCATTTGATAGGTCTAACGGGCAAATATGTCTGCTATGGTCCTCGGGCCGGACGAAGCCACCCGCTTGTCCTAGTGTCGTTTTAGTTTTAAATATCAAATGCACATGTAGATAAATATTTTTTAAATTGTAAATAAAGAGTTTAGATAGATAGATAAAGTAAATAAAAACTCTTTCATATCGGCACCATAAAAAACAGCGTATTCCATTTAAATTAACGCAGTAATTAAATAAAACATTCTACTGTAGTAAAACTTCAAATTGAAAACATCCCCGTTTATTTTTTGAATATTTTAATGATTTTGATAAAAAGTTACATTATGTAAGGCATTGCCAAAAATTTGTTAATTATTTATTTTGTAATCAAGAGTAATTAATTAATTTCGAAAGCACTACATTTTCAAAAAATGTCAAATAAATCGGAAATTATCAAAAATTAAAAGAAAATATACGGTACCCATTTAAAAAAATATAATTTTATATCGGTATTCTGTATACATGAAACTAATTTTAATTTGTAGCCGCTGTTGAGTTGTATATTTGTGCCAAATGATTTTTAATATCGTCTGTAGTTTACCCACCAGGCTTCGTCCCGTCCCGTAAAAATATCAATAACGTACTAATAAATAAAAAAATCTTTGTTTTATTTCTAACATGTTACGCCTCTGGTCGAATAGCATTGGTGTCAGAATGGAAAACGATTTTCTGCGGCATTACGAGTCCCATCTTTATTTACCTAGTCTGAGGTTATTACTAAAAATATTAGTCATGGAAAAAATTAACAACATTGTTACACATGACCGTTTCAAATATTTTGATAATGTTAATGTGCAAACGAATTTTGTATAGCCCGTAGACTGCATTAACGACTGGAGTCGAGATTGTCTATTTCTTGTGGATGAGTCCTAATAAGAACGAAACCGGTCCAAGAATGACTTTCTCCTTAGGAAGCAAAATCAAAGTTAGAGGGTTGAAAAAAATTATTTTCTATCTCTGCTATTTACCTTTTTATATAATACAATACCTGTTGCAGTATTAGCTAAAAGGGAGTAGTTGTTTTCAGGAGGGAAATGGTCGCTTGTTGTTTATTTTTAAATTGGTCACATTTGAGAATTGGAATATATTTCGTTAAAAGAAAAATCCGATATCTTAATTAATATTCAATGATATACTTGTTACTAGCAGAGACAACAGAGACGTGTAACTTAATAGGAAAATTTGGTCCATTTAAATTACATATATGACTTTCTTTCTCTTTTATATTGATCTTTACATATATGTATCTCTCTCCAATTAAACTAACACCAATCCTAGAGGTCACTGATGTTGCTGGTTTTTTGACGTCGACGTATAGATTAGAGCTGACAACTGACAATGTTATGAATGTTGTTATGAACGTGTGCATTTTATTAAGATTAATTTAATTTGGGCCCCGTTTATTTCTTTGAGTCTGATTTTATTGTTCAATTAATTTTCTTTGGGGAGGGGTTAATGTTTATTATCGAATAATATTTTTTGCATGAAGCAATTTCTGGAACCAAACTCGCGTTTTTGTACACGTTTCTTTCTAGAGGTAAGTAATTTCCAATTTATTAAGAAAACCACTGTATGTGTGTGTTTAATAATATATTACAAAATGGCTATAATTATTTTAGGTGAATTGGAACAGAGATCCATTGTTCTATCTACTTTTGTTCATTAAGTAGATGAATGTCTCGACAGCTTTAATGTCAGCACAAAGTTCCCACCTACTAGAAAAGAAGTAAAATGAATGCTGGGTAAAAAATCTCTGCACATGTAGTATTGGCAAAGGACTTTTGAAATGATTAGAGATTGGCTATTTCTTACATACACCTACCTCTAATAGCCATCAGACATCAGGTCAGTTTTGGATTTTAGAGAGAGATTAATCTTAAGAAAAGTTAATTTATTCTGCAGAACAACCAGTAGTTTAAGTAGGATCTGCTATAACTTTATTAGAAGATTTCCTTGATAATAAATTGTAATATACCAATTGTTTCAAATGAAATTGAAAAAGAGTTAAATTCGAAATTAGATTTTTCATGGGTAAAATGTTATATCCATTCAAACATCGTAAGGTAATCTATAATTAAGGGAGTATGGAAAATAGGTATACCCTGGTAAGGGAAAACGACAAAAAAATTACAAAAATGTATTCATCTTTAAATAGTGTTTATTATTATTATTATTTGCTATGTTTGAAAAGTACCTCCTGCTGCAGAGCAGATCGAATAGATTAGACGACTAGTTGGAGAAGGTCCACCTAGTCACCAAATTAGGAGAGCAAGAAAACTTTTACATGACTGGGGACACAACAGGAATGCATACGCACAAGATACACAAACAGACGACACAACAGGGGTAAGCCTTCAGTAACGTCCTGTTTAAATGATGATAGTCATCTTTCATTCCCTTTTAGAAGGCATGGCATATAAATCTATTGATCTTGACGACCCTAAGAGGAGTTAGCAGGGGGTATACGGAATGGGTCTAGCAGGTTTCGATCCAGTTTATAGGATGGGAACTTACTCGTCTCGGGCCTTATACAATTGTGTGAATGTATGTGTGTGTTTGTTTCGTTTCCATGGTTTCTATTAAAATAAACGATACCTTTTTGCCAGACTAACGTAAGCGACATTTGTTCAAATCGCACTTGTGATAGTCTGTTTTTCTGTACCTTACAAAAATATAATTTATAGAAAAATAGTTGTATTATTTTTCTAAGTTTAAATATTTAATAATCAATAGAATTTTTAAGTTTTTTTAGCGAAATTTACAAGAGTAATAAAAACTATGTTCACTGCTTATATTAAACTGATTGAAACTTCCTTTATTAAAATGATTATTTATATGATAAAAAATTTGATGTTTTTGGAAGCTTTTATATTTTTTAATATACAGTGAAACAATAGTTTTTATTTCTCCTGTAAATTTGTATAGAAAAACTAGCATTTTAAATTTTCCCGTTATTTACTAGTGGCGCCATCATAGACTGGTTGTGGTTACAATCGCCCAAACAACTTTAACCGAACAAAAAAAATACAGAGTTACACGTCTCGCTGGGTTGTCTCTGTTACTAAGTAGCAAAAACGAAATTTTAAGAAACAATTATTTATACAATAAAAAAAATGTATATTTACCTTAGAAAGAGGCTCGTTAAGATCGATTGTAGTTTCAATTTTAAATTTAGGTAGAGATACAATAACTTCCGGTCTAAACATGTCTTCAGTAATCTTAGTTAAATCGGTGTTAGCCAATTTGGCTTCCAATTCATCAATGCCGTTTCTCTTGTTGGGCAAAATAATGATCATGCTTAAGTCTTTATTCGTGTATGGAAGTTCTAGAAGTTTGGCGTCCAAATCTTCATCGTTTTTAAAGTAAAACTTTTTCTTAATATGCATCATGTTAACGTCGATGGTATCCTTATCGTTGAGGTAGAATTTTTCGGTGCGTGTAGCGGATGGTGCAAAAGGTTCTGCCCATTTACCTTTGAAATAAATAGCGTTGACTAGTACCAAACGGGTATCTGCATTTAAATCATCGGGTTGAATAAGATTTTTAATTTTATCTTTAGTTTTCTCCTCGACCCAGGTATTAATTGTCTTAGCAGCCGCCGTGTTTTGTTCAAAGTTTATATTCTGAACCTCGGAAAAGAAGTGAGAGGTAACGATATTCTTAAAAGATTCTTGTAAAGCGAACTGTTCTTTCAAGTAAACTTTGTTCGCCATGAGTAAAGTAACATCTTCTACCGAATTCAACTTTTTCATGGCTTCTTTGTATCCCTCAGCTAAAGTGGCTATATCGGGTACTTGTAGGGTGTCGGTAAGGGCTTTTCTGGTCTTGCCTGCCGAGCCTTGTGCGGCTAGTGCTAAAACGGCGTGGATACTTACGGGTGAAAAAAATATGTTTTTGTTTTTTTCTTGGGCTAAGATCTTATAGAGATTCCTGGTAAATAGACCGTTGCCCCTAAGGACAGCCGTTAAATGCTTATTTTCTTCGGCCATGGTAGAAAATTGAGCGCAAGTTGAAAAATATATGAAAAAAACTGCAAAAAAAAGAAAATATATTAAAGAAACATCTATAAATTAAATATGTAAATAAATATGTTTGTTTTATTTTGAGAGCAAACCGAACCTGTCGCGAAAAGCAAATCTTATCTTAGACCAGTCATTTAAAACATAGTAGGTCGCAAAAAATTGCACGATTCTGATTTTTTGGAATGTTGTTAGGTTAGATACCAATAGCGTAAAATCAAGTTTGCAGCTTCGAAAGATCTGTGCTAACTGCATGATGCTCAAAAAACTTCGAAATTTTCGGACTTTTTTCAGTTTTTGGCTTAAAACTTAAAAAAATTAATCCCGGAAAAAATTGCTTTTCACAATTTAAAACGCAACCCAACGCTGTAGAACTAATAAGTCCAGAGATACAAGACTTCAAAAATTTGCCATTTTTCCCAAAAAGTTCTAAATTATAGTTTCAGCCGTTTTCCGAGCAGGATATCGGCTAAAACAATCACCACACGAGAAATATCATAGAAGATGAAGTGCAGAGCAGTTATTTTGTTTTAATTTAAGCGCAAGCGGAACTCTGTATAACCAATAGTTCCCTTATTATCTGGAAAAATCAAAAATTATAGAAATGGAGCTCCCAATGTAAATTTGATTTATTTAGTGTATCGCAGCTACATATTTATATGAGTCGTAGCTCTAAAATAAGATGAATACAGAATTAAAAAATCCAAATCTGGAGCAAAGTAAGTCTGCTTATGTTTTGATCTTTTTTTTCGGTTTTTCTTATGAATCACGATACTTAACAATTAATGTAATAAATCAGTCGCGTGTGATTTCAATAGTATTTTTATCTGAACTAGTGAATTTAAATTGTTCAATTTGCTAAATTGGAAAGCGGGTTTAGAAGAACACATTTTAAAAGTATAATCAATAAAAATTTAAGAGAAAATGTATGAGAAGTTGCCTAAGCCTAATAATTTGTCATTGAAGACTAGGTTAAATAATGTTAAAATAAAAAAAATATCTATTAAATAATAACGTGGAATCAAAATGTATTAACAAAAGAACAATAATTGGTATATTTGCGATTGTAATTTATATTTTCTTCATTTTTTGTTCGAAAGAAAATATAGAATTAATGATTTAAACTGGTTTCCTATCAATAAGTCGCAACATTGCATTTCAACCACATACAATAATCAAAGGCAGAAATCTAGTCCTTGCTGAACATTTAAGATTTAAGAGATGTTGAAGAACATATTGTTACGCAGCACCCTGCAGCGTGCGGTCGTCATAAGTAAAGGTTCGAGTAAAAGAAGGAGGAACGTTTGAGAAATGTCATTCCACGTCAAGAACAATCTGGACAGTTCGAGAAGGTTAAATCAAGCTAGATAAGTCGGTGATTCTGACATCAGTTAGTCAGTTTTATGATAGACATATATGTTAATGTTATCAGTTGTATAGTTATTGAAAAGTTGAGTTTAAATAAATTGAGATACCAAAAACCTGCGTAACATTGGTGACAGCGGTGGGATATAAAATAAAAGTAACTCAAGCATTCTATTCATGGTAAATACTAGACCCACTGCACACGAAACAGATATGGATACTTCAGGCCCACCAGTATGGTTTTTGAAGATGGAAGTGGAGAGAAAGAGGCGAGAGGAGGAAAAGTAAAGGCGAGAAAAGGAAAGGCGAGAAGAGGAAAAAGAAAGGCGTAGGAAGAAGAAGAAGAAGAGAGGAGGGAAAACGAAGAGGCCAAGGAGGAGAGGCATAGAAAAGCGGAGGTGGAGATTATGAATGACTTGCTACAAATTCAAGAAAACTTCAGATAAGAGGTAGGTCAGCTGAACAGTCGAATAGATCTCTTAGCACAACAACAAGATAATTTAAAAACTGATTTAAAACAACAAGAAACGGCTAGAGTAGAGTTAGAACGGCAAATTAGAACTGAACTAGTTGAGTTAGAAAGAAGAATTCGTAGCCTAACTTTGGTAAGCAACAGAGAAACTGCACACACTACTACCTCGTTCTCATCTATAACCGAACCAAGCCATGTCCAAAACTCAGTTTTACAAAGCCATACTAGCAAGACCATTAAGCCACCTACATTTGACGGTCAGACAACATGGGAAACGTATGGATTCCAATTTGAAGCTGCAGCTAGAGCCAATGGCTGGGCTGAGAGGACAGGCAGCAACCGTTTTACAGTTACTTCCCCAAGAAGAACCCAGTTATTCATCTCTCGTCCAAGCGTTGAAGACAAGATATGGCCAGCAGCATTTGAAACGGGTTTTCCAAAGCCAACTAAATATTCGTAGTCAGAAACATAATGAAAGTCTACAGGAATTCGAGGCCGACATAAGAAGATTGATGTATCTGGCATTCATTGATGGACTACAAGATGTAGAAATGCAGCAAACTCTTCATCTATAACATCACAAGACGCTGAGGGAGAAACTAATTGCAGCCCAGGACTATGAAGCGGAAAAACTTCTTTCCAGAACTTCTCACGCAATAGTGAGAGAAATTAAATCCCAGGAAAGTGAGAAGGCCAATACTAATACTATTCCCCAAACTACCCTCTCACAAATCTTCACGATGGTCTATTGCACCGAAAGTGGAAGAGCCCCGATGGAGTACATGTAGCCTGCCAAGTGGTATTGCCGAAATCACATGTCAGAAGTGTGTTGGAGAAGCTTCATAGCAGCCGATCGGGAGAACATTTTGGTACTAAAAGGACACTAGCACGAGTTCGGAAAACATTTTATTGGGTCAATTGTCAATGGGATGTAGCGGATTGGTGTAAAAAATGTGATGTATGCAATGGCAGGACAAAGGTCTATGGATTCGCTCGTGAACGACTGAAAGCCAACAGCTATAAAGCAGAAGCTAAAATCGACAGGCGTGCCACTGGGACACATTTTAAGAGAGGCGACGCGACCCAGTATGGCTGCGCAATCTCAATCACCGAGAAGGACTTGCTTTAACCTTCTCGAACTGTCCAGATTTTTCTTGACGTGAAATGGCATTTCTGGAATATCCCCCTTCTTCTTTTACTCGAACCTTTACTTATGACGACCGCAGTACGCTGCAGGGTGCTGCGTAACATTGCTCCCTCCTCTCTAGTTATTCGCCCCGAACGTCAGTCAGTCAGTTTTATGATAGACGTTATATGTAAATGTTATCAGTTGTATAGTTTGAGTTGAAATAAATTGAGATACCAAAAACCTGCGTAACAATATTTATAACCTTTCTACTTTTTGATATCTACTATTTTCAGTATTATATTGGTATTAGTACAAAAGTAAAGGTACTTTTTTTCTTATTGTACAACTATACATTTATTTCTTTGATTTAATTTTCATTTTGCTACTGAAAATGTATACAATTTACATTGTTTTTTGTGCTAAGTATTTTTTACAATTGACAACACAGCAACTCTGGTTGCTCATTGTATTATTTTTACCTATTTTTTAAGAAAATGTAAAATGTATACGTGTATTTGATACGCCAAAATTACAAAATATCGCCCTAAAGTGATCGAATTATTCGCAGCTTGCGCTAGTATCGCTTTTGCTTCCCCTACCATAACTTCGCACTGAGCGAATAGGATAGATACATTTTGGAATAAAATAATGTAAGTTTCCTAATTTTGAGGTTTTTTTTTTCAATAATTTGAAAAAGTTTTTTCTATACACAGTTACACGTCTTTATTGCCTTATCGTTGCACAAATTTCAAGCTCTCAATATTCTCGAGACATATAACATCGCGAAGTATTATCAGTGGCGCGCATATAAATACAATTTTATATTAGAAAATCCTCAAAACATTTTTGCTTTTCGCGACAGGTTTGGTTTGCTCTTAAGATTGAATTAAGTGGTTTAAGAAGTAGTTTTTATAGATTATTTCTATTAATAATTTTTTATGTAAACAGTACAGTAATAATTTTGTTCGATGTTTCTGAAACGATAACCTATACTATACATCACTTCTTACGACAAAAATAGAACATGTTAGGTTTAATATTAGCAAAGATAATATTTATGGAGGTTTTTTCATGAATATAAATATTAAGATAAGGAAAAAATACATTTTTTACGTTCATTTTACTTATTTACATTTGAAAATAGTTGGTATTTGAAAATATTTTTTTCTGTTACTTAAATTTTTACTTTACTGTGAATTATATTAGGCTTAGAGTGGGGTCAACACATGACGATAAGGGTGATTCATTGAGGTTGGCAACCTGAAACTACCGGGCACAGTAATTTTAAGAAGAAAAAAATTCATAATTAAAGTGGCCACGAAAAAACCCTAAATTTTAAAGTCCTGTATTTCGCCGTAAGGGACACAATTGAAAATTAAATATAAAAAAAGAGTTCCAAATTTGTGAAATTTTGTCCTTTAATGCGGGAACGGTACGCTGAGGATCTTACGCAAAGACTTCTTCATCTGATGCCATAATGTTTTAATGACATTCAAGTCGGGACTACTCGAAGGCCACGATAAAACTTTTATATTATTGTCACCAAACCACTTTTTCGTTGTTTTCGCCGTATGGCAAGGTGCACCGTCTTGTTGAAAGATAAAAATCATTTCTAAAACATTGTTCTGTTGTTGGAATTAAGCTTCTTGATAAAATTTGTTGATACTTTTCTGCATTTACAGTACCATCAATGAACTCATATTTGCCAACCCCTTTACTACTCATGCATCCCTATATCATAACCTCCTTGGGAAATTTTACAGTACGCTTTAAGCAGTCTTTATGGAAAGCTTCGAATTTTGTACGAAATACCCTTTTTCGAAAATCCCCAACGCATACATCAAATTTCGATTCATCGCTGAAGATGACATTACTCCACATTTCCGTTGTCCAGGATATTTTGGATTTTGCCCAATCCAAACGTTTTTTCATTTGAATAGCTGTCAGTAATGGCTTTTCCTTCGCCTATAAGGAATGTGTGTAGCAGAACATTATTAATTTTTGTGTATTAAAACTAAAAATTACAAACTTACTTTATAAAAAAT